TACTCTGAATTCTCAAAATACCTCTCTCAAAATACCTTCTCAAAATACTCACCCAAAAATGCCAAACCCCAAAACAAACAAACAAAAGAACTTGGCACCCCTTGCTCTAAAAATATTGAAAAATAGGTAATTTCAGAGGGGAAACCGCTTTTCCCCATTTTTCTTCTTCTGGATGCCATTGAAAGCATCATTCTGTTTCTGATATTTAAAAGCAAAGATGCTGGACTGAAGAGATGGGGATTTTTAAATGTATTTCAGGTAGATGCGTCAACAGATCTCAAATGTTCAGTTTTAGACATTAGCCCATCTCCTAACAGTTCAGGACTAGAAGGTGAACACAGTTGTAAAGGCAAACAATCCTATTAGTCATTTCAAGAACCATAGTTGCACAACAGACATTAATAATTAATAGTGATGATAGTATGATGTAGTATATAGTATGCAGTAGCAGCAATATGACAACCTGGAAGGACAGATTAATGATCAATAACTCTGACCACAGTTTACAGTAGTCTTAGGTCACTGGGCCAGTCTTTGGCACAAAGCCAACTGGGTGGCCTTGGACCAGTCATATCTTCTCCATTCTAGGAAACACCATTTCTGAAATCTTGCAAACCACTTCTGAAATCTTGCCAAGAAAACTGCCAAAATCGCAGGTCTTGTACAGGCAGTTTGCCAGGAGGCAACATGTACTCAGACACTCCCCTGCCACCTCCCCCCAAAAAATAGTCTTAGAGGATATAGAAAGATTTCACCATATGACCATCCAGTCAGATTATCAGAAACACCTCCATTTGTTAACTGAGCAACTGCAGACTTTACAGGGGTGTCTGCCCATTCTCTATATTAATAAAAAGGGAAGAAAACCATGCTTTTTGTAAGCTGTAAAAAGGTGGGAAGAGGAACACTTAGATGTTAATCTAGCAAACGAACTATCCATGAAGATACACATAACATGGGAAGATGCCCCATAGGTTGGAAACAGAATGGCCATGAGGCATACAATAAAACAACACATTGTGGAATAAGCATGCACAAAGGGCCAGCCATTTCTCTTCCAGGACACTCCTTTCCACCCCCTTCCCATTTTATCTCCTTCTCATACCATGAGGCTGCATGAAGTCTTTGGCACACTTTAGATCAGGGGTGTCCAACTCAATTTCATCGAGGGCCACATCAGGGTTGCATTTGAACTCGGGTGGGGTGAGGGGGGGCAGCTTGACATCACTTGTGTTGGGGGTGCTTGGGTGGCCTGAGCTCTGCCTGTGAAAATGGGCTCCCAAGCTCCGTTTCCAGATGGGACAGCCTCCTGCAACCCTCTTGTCAGCAAAAACGGAACTCAGGTGAGCTGCGCACGGCTCTCGCGAGCTCCATTTTCACTGGCAGAGGCACTGCGGGCCAGTCCTTCACTGTTTTCATGGTGGGCCCATGGGCCAGATCTAAGCATCTTGAGTTTGACACCCCTGCTCTAGATTACTCTACATCTATAAACTTGGGGAGTATAACTGAAATGATCATCATCTTCTTTTGTGAGTGAATATACAAAAATGCAGTCTTTGTTACCTAAATTCAGTACAGATGTATGATAGGTATGATAGGTAGGTAGGTAGGTAGGTAAGTAGATAGATACCGTGTTTCTCATATAATAAGGCCGGGTCTTATTTTTTTTTTTGAGCCCCGAAAAAATGGCTAGGCTGTCTTTTCGGGGGTGACTTAATTCCCCCCCTTGCATCTTTGGGTGGGCGGGTGGCGATGGCTTGGATGTTGACCTCGGCGTTGGTGGGGCACTTCGTATCGGGGTCAACGCAGGCAGCACCATATCCGGGTGTGCAACAAAAGTACTTCCTAACGGCAAGCCCCCCCACCATTCCCCCCCATTTCGCATGTTTTAATATAGGCCTTAATTTGGGGGGAGGGGCTTAATTTCATTTCATGCCTATAAAACATGCTGGGACTTGCTATTGGGGGAGGCCATATTGTTGGAGAAACAGGGTAGGTAGGTAGGTAGGTAGGTAGGTAGGTAGATAGATAGATAGATAGATAGATAGATAGATAGATAGATAGATAGATAGATATGGATATATAGAGACATAGAGATTCACACACACAGTGATAATACAATAATATGCTATATATATATAGGACTAATATACCGGATAACCACAGCACAAAGTTTTTGGAGAGTACCATAACTATGATCTAAGTGGACCTGCATCCTGATAGCAAGCCAAAATTTAGCAGTGAAGTGGGAGAAGATTCCTGTGTTCGGGGGAAAAAAAAAGATTTTCAGGGTCATGATGGTTGACATTTGCTTATCCCAAGCATGTTTTTGTCAGTTAGTGATGACTGATCTACTACCTTCACTGGAAGTTAATTTCAAGCTTCCACTATAATAATACTCTCTAACATTACTTTTGAACTTCCCTCCACAGGTTATGCCCCTGTGTTCTGAATTTTTTGCTTAATTAAAAAAAATAAAATCGGGAGATGAAAGTCAAAGCGCCTATATATATTTCAGAAATGTTTTGCTTTCTCTATCTCCTATACCTACATAAATATTGTTACCTATGAAACAAATGATTGATTGCATCTCCTCCCCTAATAAATTATCAATTAAAATTCCTTCTGATGCACAACAAACCAGATCTCTTTCAAAGCAATTAATTCCCATTAGAATTTGGTGCTTTATTTCAGCGAAGCTCCTGGGTTTAATTTCTTTCAGTTAAATCCAATCATGAAGGCAAGTATGATTTATTAGATCACATAAATCCGAAGACTATAAGCTGCAATGTAGTCAAACCACTGGCCCATCCAGCTGAATACTTGCACTCGCTCCAGGATTTCAGAGCGGGACTTTTCCCAGCCGTACCTGGAAGGCCAACAACAACAAAGGATTAAACCTGAGAAACGTGCAGTGTATCTTTGCCATGGACTAAGCCGCACCCAAACATCCATCATTTGAGTCTCTGATACAAGAGTCATGAACACGGTTACTGCTATG